TGGTCTCCCAAGTATTAACAAGCCCCAATACGGCTTTTCTTTTGAAGATCAGTCAAGCACCTTCCTAGACTTTTCTGGTGATTCTCGCAGTGCAGAAAATTGGGAGGTTTATTCTCCACAATTGCCACAACAAACTACAGTGTTGTTGTCATCATAAAGTGGAAAGAAGGAACCACCTTCAAAACCCTAAACTCACTGGATTATTTAAAAGGAGGTGGGGGGTGGGATTTCATCTTTATTATTATGAAAGATGTGGCTGTCTTCTTCAGCCAGATGGTCCTTCATTCCTATGCTTCAGAATGGTCTTGAAAATGGAGCTATTCAGAAGGTTGTTTGGGGCTGGCATCTGGTCATAGGACACCTAGTTTGATTGCAGTCCTGTGGTTAGCATTTTATTGACGATTGTTTGGTCATCTTGGTTGCTTCGTTTATTGCTTGATTCTTTGTTTATTTTTATTATTTTACTGTGTACCACCAGGAGTTCTTATGGAGTGTGGTGGTATCTAGTCTACAAATAAACCTTATCTCACAATGCAAGTGGAGACACACAATAGAAGCCTGCCTTTCCCAGTTTGTCCTGTCTCTGGGACCACGTTCCACAAACAGATGCTTCAGTATACAACCTATAAAGCGGTGTTTCTCAACCTTGGCAACTTGAAGATGGGTGGACTTCAACTCCCAGAATTCCCCAGCCAGCATAATTCCCCAGTGCTATAAAGGAAAGAGGTTTCATGTGTCCACCAGGACTTCTGCTTCTGCAGAACCATTTGCCCATGGACAAACCCTTCATACCAACATTTGTGCTGTTCGTGCAGACAACAAAGGAGAACAATCCTGCTCACGTAAGGTTGCGGGAGAAGACAACCTATCCATCTGTTCATCTAGCATGTTTTTTATAACGCCGGACACAGACCAATAGGAATGGGTATTCGTGTGTGCTGATTTTCACAGGTTCACATTTGCAATATCCAGGACCGATCCCCGAAGTCTGTGCACTTCAGAGTATTATTTGTCAAGCTGGCTTTTTCAGAAGTCAGCCGGGAAGAGTGCCAGATGTGCATTTCTCATTCTGAAAGTCATCTGTTACTCATGAAGAAGTAGAAGGAGCTTGCAGGAGATGTGTTGTGTCTGAAAAAAACACAATGTTTGGCGGAGCCCTTGGGGCAGATTTATCAGAGAAGCAAAACACGTACAGCTTCTGCCACTTCCACTGCTCCAGACCTCGGAAGACTCTTCAGAGCAACGTTGCATCAGGTACAGCCTGAGAAATCTCCTTCAGTGCAAACTGCCAAAATATCCTGAGTATCACCGAAATATCTACCAGTAGGAATTATGATCCTTTTCCAATAAACCATAGCTACGTTTTCCAGATGGTCTCGTTTTGCACATGCTTACCCATGTTATTCCATTCCTTCCTGGTGACGTGACCATATGACCTTTCTTGATTGTTGTATTTGCTGCTCTTTAATTTCCCATGAAATATCTTAAAAAGGTGCTGACCTCTGGCCTCTAGAAATACATTATATATGTTAGTGGGATGAAGCAGGACTTTTGTTCTGTGCAGAGGTGTGGCAAGGGGTCTACAGCCCTGCAAGCAGCATTGAGTACACGGCGTGTATGTCTACACCAAAATTACCAAAGGCCACCTAAGAAGACCTTTCATTAATAGCTATCCATCTTTCCTCCAATAGTATAACTTCTAGAAGAAGAGTGTCAAGAGGACTTGCTATGGACAAACAAGAGAAAGATAGTCCTTCAGTACATGGTCCTAAGCCATTTGTTTAGTCGTTAAGTCGTGTCCGACTCTTCGTGACCCCATGAACCACAGTGCCCTCCAGCTTGGTGCCCATCATCCAACCGCATTTGGGCACCAACTCAGCAGCCTAGCATCACCAAAGCTATTTCTACTTCCTTCCTACTGGTACAAACATTTTGTGTCTTTGGGAAATGTTTTCACAGCTAGCCAAGTCTATCTGGCCTACTGCAGACACATCTTGAGTATGACTTTGTCTCAATCATAACCCTTAATCCCTACTTATTTTATTTATTTTATTTTATTTATAAATCAAACTCGATCCAGCAGAAGGGGCATGTTGTAGACCCCACCAGTCAAGGAATTTCGACTGGTGGGATCTAGGAAGAGGGCCTTTCCTGCCATGACCCCCACTCCCTGGAACAACCTACCACCCAAGGTGTGGTGTGCCCCCACTC